CCGAACCCACCCCATCTATAGTCACTAAAATCATGACAATATTAATTTGTAGTGTCTTCATCAGGCACTGATCACAGAGACTTCTGAAATAGCTATTGTGAAATGTACCTGCTCTTCCTAAAGACACAGAACTTCTTTTCCAATATGTTTAACATTAACAGACACAAAGCCTTTAATTAGCATTTTCTTCAATAATAGTTTCTGAGGTTATGTGACTTTATTTCAGAGACTTTTTAAATAAATAACACAACCATGCTGATACGTGGTGTGTTCAAAAAGTATCAAAACTTTGGTTGGCAGAAATACATTTACTGATTTGGAGGTACAAACCCCTAATCCCCTTCAAAGTAGCTGACTCAAATCGGGTTCCTTTCAGTGGCATTTTCAGATTGGGAAATAGCCAAAAGTCACACGGAGCCATGTCGGGGGAGTAGGGAGCCTGATGAACCACAGGGATGTTGTGTTTGGCGACGAAAGTCTGTATCAGATGCGCAGAATGGGCGGGTGCATTATCATGATGGAGCTGTCAAGTTTTTCTGCCCACAGATCCGGTCGTTTGCGCCGCACAGCATCACGAAGGCAACGAAGGACCTCCTGGTAGTATTCCTTTGTGATGGTTTGGCCTTGTGGTGTGAGCTCATGATGCACAACCCCACGGGAGTCGAAGAAAATGGCCAACATGACCTTGACATTGCTGCGGACCTGCCGTGCTTTTTTTGGCCTAGGGCATGTCAGACGTTTCCACTGTGACGAATGCATCTTGGTTTCCGGGTTGTACCCATAAACCCACGACTCATCACCTGTGATCACGGTGTTTAGAAAGTTGGGGTTACTGTTTGCATTGTCCAGCATGTCCTGTGCGATTTCCAGATGGCATTGCTTCTGCTCCATTGTTAGCAGTTTTGGTACGAACTTCGCGGACACTTTCCTCATGCCCAATCTTCAGTCAAAATTGAATGTACCGATCCAATGCTTACCCCTATCTCGTTCGCAAGTTCTCGGACTGTGATACGACGGTCCTCCATGACCAAAGTCCGCACTTGCTCAATGACATTCTCATTTCGGCTTGTTTAGCGTCTGTCTGAACGTGGTTCGCTGTCCACTGATGTGCGGCCATCTTTGAAGCAGTTGTACCACTCCTTTATCCGTGAGTTGCTCATGGCACCGTCCCTGAAAGCCTGTTGAATCCTGCGAATGGTTTCCACTTGGGTATTGCCAAGCTTTAGGCATTTGATGCAATATCGCTGCTCATGTTGTTCCGTCATTTTACACCTTACTGGTATCCGACGAGCGCTCACTACACGTCCTCACTCATAGGCCGACTGCCAGCGACTGATGCTTTCTGCGAGCGGGAAAAAATTCACAACTGCGCATGAATTTCCCCTCCACATCTCCACTGAAGGGAGCCTCCCCGGCTTCACTGGTTTACATGGGAAAAAAGGTTTGATACTTTTTGAACACACCACGTATGTCACTAGACGAGTATTAGACTTAATTATATGCTATTCTAACATGAAATATACTATTACAAATTGCATACATTTCATTATAGTAAATATTAAGGCAGACTGGTAATGAGAACAACAGTTGAATGGAAGTGGCTCTGGATCATGTCCAATGGTTTTGGCTTTGGTATTGCTATTCCTCAGAGCTTTCAACATGCTTTGACTGTACCTAGAAAATTATCACAAAGCAAAATAAAATATATGTGATTGTGTGGCTACTTAACAGCACATATAATACAGAATAAGTTCTTCATCTGGGGTTGTACAGTTTAATTCACAACACAATGTGATATCCTTTCCTGCCCACCATGGATATTCACCTATTAAGCCCAAACTATACAAAACGAAAAAAGTATAAATTACATAGGCCATACCGAAAGTCATGAGCAACTTTTTTTTGCATGCAACCTGGGAACAGCAGATGAAAGAGAGTAGGGTGGTAGGTGGAATAGCTGTTCTGTTAACCTTGAGTGTCTTGTGATGTCAACAGCTTGCATCACATGACCAGTATCACTCCTAACAAAATGGCCGACAACGATATGTTGTTTCACCAGCGTGCTGTCATCAAATTTCTTGTGAAAGAGGAAATCCCTGCTGCAGAAATTCACCAGAGACTTCAGCGTGCTTATGGAAGTGTGTGCATTGGTGCGAGCAGTGTTCGAAGATGGGTGAAACATTTTAAAGATGGGGAACACCAGCATTGAAGAAGAGCCTCAGAGCGGTCATCCTGGAACAGCCTCAACTGAACACAACAAGGAAAGATTGGATGAGATCATTCAAGATGACAGGCGTGTGACTGTGGATGCAATAGTCCGAAAACTTGGAATAGGGCACAGTGCAGTACAGTACAGGAGATGATTGAAAGCTTGGGCTACAGGAAATTTTGTGGTCATTGGGTCCCGCGGTTATTGACAGAAGACCACAAAGGTCAGCGAAAAGCCATCACCTCAGAACTGCTGCAAAGATATTGACAGGAAGGTGATGATTTTTTGTTCTGTATTGTGACAGGTGACGAAAGCTAGTTTCACCATTTCAAGCCTGAAACGAAACGGCAGAGTATGGAATGCAACCATTTGCATTCTCCATCAAAAAAGAAGGCAAAGACAGTGCCATCAGCTGTGAAGGTGATGGGCACAGTCTTCTGGGATGCAGAGGGTTTCATTCTGGTCGAATTCCTGAGAACCTGGGGAAACCATCAATGCTGCTCATTATGTCCAGACGCTGCACAAGCTCCATTGTGCATTGCACGATAAACATCTGGGATGAAACATCATCATCCTGCATGACAACGCTCACCCCCACGCCACTGGCCTCACATTGGAAGCAATTGCAAAGATGGGGTGGGAAGTTCTTCCACACCCCTCCTATAGCCCTGATCTGGCACCCTCCAACTACCATCTTTTCTGATTTGTGAAGGATCAGCTGCGTGGACAATGTTTTGAGACAAGGAAGGCAATTCATAAAGCAGTGCGTCAGTGTCTTCGGATGGCTGGAACAGAATTTTATAGAAGGGGAATTTCCAAACTCCCAGAACGCTGGGAGAAATGTGTACAAAGAAGTGACGATTATGTGGAAAAATAAAGAAAGGTCTGTAGACTGAGGTGGTGTATTTGGTTTGTCAATAATAAAGCATGTTACTTTACAAAAAATTGTTGCTCGACTTTCAGTATGACCCTCATAGTTCTAAATACAGTAAGATAAAGTTGCCCCTGTGCTTACCTAATTAAGCATTACACCATGAAAACATATGGGGAAGTGAACATATAGATCCACATATTCTTGACCTTGTTGCTAGTTGGAGGTGAGCAGTCAGCTTCATGCCCCCAGCCGCTTCAACCCCCCCCCCTGGAAAAAACAGCCCCCAGTGCCCAGTGAATACAACGATAGGTGGGCACCAGAACCGGTCTAGATGACATGAAGTGGCAAAAAATCATTCCCTACAGGGATTCGAACTCTGACCACTAGGCCATCATTTTCTGTCTTTTATTAGGCAAGTATGGATTTCCCTTTACTCCTATTAAGCAGTGATGACAGGCATTTCTTAAATAACCTTTCCTAAGGATCAAGATTCAGAGGTAAGGCATACCAAACTGAACAAACTAAAAAAATTTCATAATGCATCTGACATGTTTAAGTAAGATATTTTATGATTAATGGCAGGAATATAAAATAATGCATATATTTCATCTGTGTTCTCATTTCTAATGAATTGTAAGCAGGTCTGTCCAAAACACCTTTGGCATAGGTTCCTAACCCAGGTCCAGTTCCTCCCAAGAGATCAGTGGTTAGCTCCACTGTGCTGGGGTGTTACCTCATGGTTTATTTTCACTAACTCCTACAATTCATCACAATATTCATTGAAGACTTCAGCGACTGATGATGAATATATTCAACTCTAATGGTGCAGGAAGAGTTAAAACAAATATAATATCACCAAGAAGGGAAGAACTCTATATAATTACACTGCATCAGTATGACCTTACACATCTATGCTCATGCAGAATGGAAGGCTTTTTCTTAAGAGAACTGAAGAAATTTGTAAGATATTCAAGTCCTCACATGACCCTGTACGGATATTTTTCTTTCAGAGGTGGAGATAAAAAATCACGTTTATTTGCAACAAAGTTGAATGAAAGCAGAATAGCGTAATCTAAAATGGCAAACCTCCTGTAAGTATAACAGCTTTTCTTTATTATAAGAGAAAACAAGATAATGATGCAGACTATCCAGTCAGTAGTACTTCCCCTCAATGTTTCCCACACTTCAAACTAACACCTCATATGCTGATGGACAGAAGGGCAAGCTGGCAAACAGTATAAAAGAATTCACTGTACTGTAACATGACAAAAAGTAAATATAGGAGAAAGGGTGCTAACTGCTATGAAAGTACTTTGTATACAGTGCAGTCACACTTCCATTCCTAATACTTTACTAACATATGAACCTACATTTATGAAGCATTCGGGTAAATCTGCTAACAGCCGTATACAAAATTATTACATACTTATTATCACTTATGATTCAATATTATGGATCAAAATTAACACATTCACTAAATAGCAGAAATCATAAGTTAATTATAGACTGTTAGTAATATTAAACCAAGAGCCGCTCTGATATATTTCCCAGCACATTAACGAATAAAATAAACTAATAATGTAATATCGACCTTACAAAAGATGCTCCCTACCAAACTCAGTTCTACATATTCAAAAAACATAACTGTAATATGAGAGAGAAAGAAGGAACGCATATTTAATTAAACAAGCACATCAACAACCGATGACTGTGAAACTATTTGGCCTTTAATAATGTCACGTAGTCCAAAACGAAAAATTAATACATCATGGTACTGCAAGAGGGTATACTTCCAGTTCAATCCATATTCATGTGACGGCTCCAAAACTGAAGTATCAATGACACCTTAATACCTAACTTACTATGTATCCACTCACAATGTAGTCTCTTTTTTTGTCATAAAGCAGAATTACGTACCTTCTGCTGAACTTAATCCGAAAACAGCCAGTTTCTTCTCAGTTCAGCAGGATGAAAGCTTGCCTTCGTTACAATAAATAACAGCTGTACTTTACAAAAACATCATTGAAGTTATACACCCGTGATTGGAGTAACCGACATTGACGTAACTTCCTTCAGATCTACGATTGGCTAAATGTCACGTGTTGAAATGAGAGGGGGGGGGCACAAGTACAAGAGCAACAAGAGAGCCCACGCGTGACATACGTTACAAAATAATTTTACTCCCTGTATGATCTATCAGTTTATACAGATATAAAAATATCCACATCCTGCAAGACGCGCATATGAATACACACATTTCCGTCCGTCTTAGGAAAAGTTTCAGTATCGTTAAAACGCAACATTTGATTAAGTGGGGTCATGATGGAATCGNNNTCGGGGGGGGGGTGAACGTTGCCAAATCGTTAAAGACAAAATTTGTCAAAGGCAACATTTCAAAGTAGACAGAAAAACAATAACGAATTTAGAAATGTACATTACCAATCACTTTACACTACTTCCCTGCAACTACACAATAACTGGCACGTCCAAATGGTCCAAATCACACAACTACCGAACTCACTCCATGGAGACGTTCAGTGGGTTCAGTGGTTTGATGGCGTTGTTGGTAAATATCGTCTGTAAACAAAGATACCCGTGCTAGTTACCGGCAACTAACGATTAATGTAAAGTGAAAGGGATTAAGTGGCATTCTGAGGCTTGTAATGTTGTTCGACGTTCGTTGTTTGTGATAGAGAAGAAATGCTGGCAGTTTATGTTATTTCTTAACCAGCCTTAGATATTACCGTATGTTTACTGGAACAGTAATCTTCGTGGTTCATGAACAACTCATAATGGTGAGATTTTCGAATGAGCTGATAGTATGATTTAGATTGTGGTGTATTTTTGTTGTGACGTTATGTAATCTGGCGGTAATTGCTAATGTTTCGGAGGAACAGACAGACTCAATCTTCACATTAGAAGCATAGGTGTAAAGAATAAAATCACAATTCAAATCATGTCTGCCCTGATAACCTCAAATATAATATATCCTTTCGATGGTATATAAGTCATTCACATCTTTAAACGTAATGTGAGTTGAATGTTTTGTTGTTGAACAAGAATCGCACATATTACATGTGTTTGCCCCAAAAGCTATGATAAGCAGCCAAGACCAGTGGGTAGTGGGAGGAATGACCATATTAATTCATATACTATTATTGAAAGCGGATTTATATGAACAGGCTGTAAAATTAAGACAGTAGAAGTGATTATGTGTGCTACCATGAGCTAGTTCATCATTCTGTGTTTTATTCTAATAGAGAATAATGATTCGATTTCTTTCAGAAATAATAGAAATAAATTTAAAAAATGCATCCTGATACATTTTTGGTAGGGGACAATGTGCTGCTTGTAGGAGAAGGCAACTTTTCCTTTGCTGTTGGTTTGACTGATTGGAATCTTCCTATTACTATAACAGCATCTTGCTTAGGGTCTGATAATGTGATTAAAACAAGAGAGGAAAATATTGCATATCTGAAAGAGAAAGGTAAGTGCAGTTCATAACAACCTGAACTCACAGATGCTTTACAATATCATACTAGTTCATTATGTTCTGTAATTTCCATAAACGCATACGTGTTTTTCTGTCTCTGCTGTTTATTTTACAGAAATCTAAATTGCTTTCAGCAGATGAGTTCTCTCTCTTCTGACATTATTTGTTGAAGTTATTACAGTTACTTTTTGGGGGTGGGAGCTGTGGGGTAAATATGGCCGCAGCTGCTCGCTGTGAATGGTTAAGTCGGACCCAGCTGGTCGCTGTGCTGGGTTAAAGTAGTTGCAGCTGCTAGCTGTGAGTCACCCTTTAGTGACTCTGAGGAAGCAGTCGATGACATTGCTTCACCTTTCACTGTTCAACACCTCTGTTGTTCTGTAAAATGATGTACTGGGCGCCACTCAGTAGAGAACATGAGACTATCACTGGATCGTTAAGTGGGCCTTGGTTCCAACAAAGTGGTCAAGCAAAACCCACGAAAAACTTATGAACACTTACACTTTATTAAAGTCAAATAATTTACATTGTTGATAATGTACATGATGTGTATTTATGCTAGCTGTCTTACAGTGCACACAATTCCACCTTTCTCTTCACTTTTACACTACATGTTTCGGCACTAATGTGCCATCTTCAGGTGTGTGTCTATCCACGTCAGACTGTTGCACTGCATGCCATGATGTCTCCATCATAAAATGACTAAAATGTGTATTTGTCATGTATAACAATAAATTCTAAATACTGAAACCTTTCAGGATTTGTCATCCATACGTCGTATCTCAAATATGCGAGTCATGCCAATCCTCCTCTATGGGAGCACTCTTCCTACATTCATGTGTGTGTTGTGTCATAAGAGAAAGACACAACACAGAGCACAATATATAAGCTGTACAAGTGAAAAGCATAATTAAAAACCCAAGAATCAGCCAATTTCTTGAAACTATAATGGTTATGAAGTTCAGAACTAGGAAATGACACACTGAAAAACAGAATAAATGGTAAAAGCATCAGAATGTTCCATTGCAGTTAATTTTGATAACATTGTGGAAGATTTTCACCTTGAAACATTAAAAAAATACTTGTATGAGGCATTTTAAGATACCTTATATAATACAGAGTTTACTTTATTATATTGTATTCTGTTGAATTTATTGACCATATATGTCATGTGTGAATGATACAGCTTGCAATGGTTGCTTTAAGCCGACAGTCTAATTTGAGTTAGCCATATTTATGTGGACATTCAAATCTGAGCATAATAGCACTGACTGCATTTTTTATTCGTGTTAGTTTTATATATTATGCAGGAAATTTCTTGCAGGTGTTCGAGTGCTATTGGGTGTAGATGCTACAAAATTGGATGAACATTTTGTTCTTAGAACTGAAAAATTTTCAAAGATCATATTCAATTTTCCTCATATTGGAGGGAAAATGAAAATACATCTAAATAGAGCACTTCTAAAGGGATTTTTTCAGACTGCTTCAAAACTGGTAACACTGGATGGAAGAATTTTGGTATCACTGTGTAAAGGGCAAGGAGGTACCAGAGTTGACAAGCCAATACGCCGGTGGGACGATACATGGCAGGTTGTTGAGATGGCTGCACATGGAGAGTTGGTTCTGGTGTCTGTGGAGAAGTTTAGAAATGATATGATCCCAAAGTATACAAGTGTAGGGTACAGGGGAGGTGACTCTGCATTTGACACAGATGGTGCTCTCGTTCATGTTTTCAGCAAACGGGAACCTTTATATCCTAGTATGGACATGGAAACATTATTACAGCATCTAGAGAGTCAGGTTTTGGAAACAAAATTTGGAAATCTAGTATGTAATAGTGTTTATCATATCAAGTACAGGAACAATCCATTAGAGAGGGAAGGATCTGCTATGCACTATTTGAGTGAACAATTGAAGTCCTTTGTTGAGACTCTTTGTATTAAAGTAAGACACATTTCAGATGATAACGTTCCACTCCACACTGAACTAGCAATTGGCAGTCCACTGTGTTATACTGAGGGACACAAAGTGGAATGTTCCTTGCGACACACACTCTTTGATGTTCTAGATGAAGTACTGAAGTTATGGAATCAGGCTCATGATGAAATTATCATGTTTCCAGGACTAATTTTCAATGATCTAGGGGTTGATTTTTCATATCCACCATTATCTTGTCATGTCTTACTGTTGGGAGATGAATTGTCAGGTGTAACTGAGAAATGTATAAGGAGAATGCTTCAGGTGTTTCAGAAAGGTGCTATGTATATATCAGTATCTGCTTTTGAAATGGCAGCAGAATGTCATCACAGAATTACTGCTGACAAGAACATATTTATAAAAAATGTTACTCAAACAAAGGTACCTGTAAAAGTGGCACAGGAATTTTCATTGACTGTAGAAGGCAGTGGAGAATCCAGATGTATATCAGCAAGTGTGATACATCTGGATCGGCTTTCAGAATTGTTGTTTGATGTTGATAACTGGAGACAGTTGTGGACTCAAGAATCGTGTGTTGTTTTTGACAAAAATATCCCATTTTTAAATCATTCCTGCTTTGAGTCTTTGGCATATACATGTGATATATCTTTCCTCGAGAGTCCTTCTTTTTCTTCAGCAAAGTTCTGTGCCATATTATGGCAAGTAGCTGGTGATATAATTATTAATGTAGAATTTTTGAACATGTATCAGTCTCCTGATGGCTGGAGAAGCCATTGCTACAGGATTACTTATCAGTCTTTTGACAAAGCTTTGTCTAGAAAGCAAGCCAGTAGAATTCAAGAAGCTATTATAGGGAAGGTGTTATGTGCAAAATTAGGGATTTCTATAAGGTGATTGCAGTAGAAATAATTTCTGAATGTGAGTTTACTCCTGACAGTCCATGCTAATGAAAGAGAAAATATGCACAAATAATTGAAAAGCATAGATAATCCAAAATATTTTATGGCTTGATGCCATAACATGTCGCATATTGGGGTGTGTGTATGTATGTATATACTGCATGTAGATGGAAGCTCTATTTAATTTTTATCGAGTGTGAGACAGCATAATATTCAGATGTAATTAAGAGGCCATGATGATTCATGTATATGAAAATCCAGAAATGTATGTATAGTGCATTGAATTTGTTAATTGTTTTTAAAACCACAGTACTTACGGAGAAATATAGGGAACATAAAATGTGTGTTTATTTTTTCTCTACAACTTATTGGTGAAAACATGTTTTACTTACTTTACTTTTATTTAGTGACTTATGCTTGAGATAAATGAAAAAAATGTGTGTATTTCTTGTTTCACTAAAATTGTCTAATCTAAATAAAAATATATGTGGCTTGACAGAATTCTCTAATATTAAATTTCATGAAAATCCATCCAGCAGTTTTCAAGTTTCATGTGTGCAGATAGACAAGCAGGTGGACTGAATGAACTTAATAGCTGCTGTAGAGCAATGGCTCCCAAACTAGATGTTGCATGTGGGAGTGTTGCATGTAAGAACATTATGGAAATGCTCCAGAACCGAACTACAATTTGGTGAAGTTCTCTGTGATAGCACAATCAGTGCTGGACAGCCATGAGGTCAGAGTTTGAGTCCCAGGAGGGACAAGATTTTTGTCCTCTCCATGCTGGCCAGACCGGTTCTGGAGCCCACCCAACCTCCCATCCAGCAGGTCCCAGGGGCTCTTTCCATGGGGGTAAAGTGGCCAGGTCTTGAAGCTGAACAGTCACCTCCAACTAGTGCCAAGATCAAGAATACATTGATCTATACATTCACTCCGCCATATGTCTTCATGGCCTAGAGCTTATTTAATTAAGCACAGGGGCAACTTTAGCTTTTAGCTTAGTTACTTATCTTACAGAATCCATAAAAAGCAGTTCAGTTAGCAGTAATTGTGCAGTCAAGATGTCTTTTAAGATTAGGCAGTCTTAGAATTTAATTGTTGCATATGATATTTTTAAGGAAACTAACCTAGATGCACTGTCATGGATATCAGCATGATTCCTGGTGGCTTAAATCAAATAGAAACAAAGAAATAAAAAAATATATGTTAAGGCTTTGATTATTAAGAACTACTGTGGTCTTAGTTCATTAGTAAAACCTGGCACCATATGATGTGCATTATGTATTGTATGAGAAAAGGTTTATAAAGCAGCTGGTGGAAGTTTCCTGTGATAGAGATCTCAGGATCAAGTCTGAAGTTTGTTTCATCCAGAATTTTGGCTTTATATATTAAAAAATAACAGTCAAAACTCTTGTTAACTAGCCACTGATGTGTTACTACTTTTTGGAATGACATCTGTGTAAAATAATCACTGTTAGCAATGAGAGCAATAAAATTGAAATGCCATAATTGCCTTCAGTTTGAATGGGAAATAAATATATATATAACAGTAACAAAGAATGCCCATCTCTCCTAATCTCCAAGCATGATGATTAACGTAAAACAGTCTATGATGAACAAAAAGTTTGGGAACTGGTACTCCAGAGGGTTGTAAATGTGCCTAAGAAAAGGAATGTTGAGAAACCAGCACACTGGATAATCTGCATGTGAATAACCAGAAAGTATGTAAGTTTTGAGGTTTTCACGGCGATGACTATGAAGAAAGTTGTCTTCTGGGTTTAGGCCTACACATGGCGCCTAAACCCAAAAGACGACTTTCTTCACAACCAGAAAGTAGTTCACACAGTTGAAATAAAGAATTATGTAGAAACTACTATATGGGTATTAATTATCCAAACCCTGTTTTAAATGTTTGGTTCAGTTTTGAGTAAATAAAGCCCTCATTATCTGGTATCTAGGCATCTAGAAATCTTATACTACCACCAAAATTTCAGAAAAAAGTTACCATGTTTATAAACAGATTTGAAAAAAAGTTGCAATGCACATATGTTAGTCACACAGTAGTTCTTGTATCTGCCACTAGTGGCTATGCACATCATATGGAGAAGTGTTTTTTTTAGTCAATGCTACCAATATACTGGTAATGGATAAGAATAAATTACTCTCCAAGAAAAAATAAAAAGTGTGATGATCCAGCTAAAATCTTTGTTTTAAAAAAATAACCTGCTTATAAATACTGATAAGACCAAAGCACTGCTATTCCAATTAAATAAACCATATCCGCCAGTTATTACTTTCAAAAATATAGAAATTAATTATACATCACATTTCAGATTTTTAGGTATCAATATAACACACAATCTAAAATGGGGGTCACATATTCAGTCCTTGTGTCTAAAACTGAATAAGGCATGTTACATTATTAAAACTTTGTAAGATTTAGTGAGCCAGTGATTGAGACTAGCTCTTTCTAAGGGGCCCAACTGAGTAGGTTTATCCTTCCCTATCCACCTGAAGATGGAGACAGATCCAGTCTCCGAAACGTCGTGGTTTTTTGTCTTTTACATACCAGACGATGGGTGAAGTCCAAAATAAGCCAAAAGAAGAACCTATGAAATGTAAAATGAGTATCTCACATAAAATTCTGGGAATACTGAGTAATGAGTAGTAAGACTGAAAATGAGGCCGCGCCATAGCTCAAGTGGTTCGTCGCTGGCTTCCCACTGCGGCAGCTCAGGTTTGATCCCTGGTCTGGTCAAGTGGGATTTGTGGTGGACAAAGTGGCTCTGGGGCAGGTTTTCTCTGAGTACTTCGGTTTCCCCTGCCAATCTTCATTCCACCAATTGCTCCATCACCCTCACCTATCATCTGGGGCTGGTACAATAGGCCAGAAGTGGCCGCAGTACAAGGGACTTAGTCCCACCCCACTAGCGATAAAGACTGAAAATGGCATTCAACTGGTCTCTATACTGAAGTGATCCACATGAAAGTAAAAATTCTGTACTTTGTGTCTCAGAAAGACATAAAGAAACTGTACCCATCTGGCATTAAATCCTTGGACTTCAGGATGATCAAGGCCATTTTTCATTATGGAACTGAAATTCTAATTGTAAGCAACTAATCTTCCAGAATTTGAAAGTATTGCAAGAATTGAGAAGAAGCTTTACTTTTTTTCATTAAAAGAAACTTTCTTGTTACTCTGTAACCATCCTGTAGTTGGGTCAGTGATGAAGCCCAAAACTTGAAGACAGAGGATGTGATGATTAGCAGGAGATTTCAACAGACACCTGCTTCAGTACTATTTCATCCACCATACGTTTCAACATGAAATCCAGGATTGAACCCAGACTTCCATGTTGAGATTGACTTCTTGTTAGGATACTGGAATACTCCACCATTCACATGGTGAAACTGATGTACATTAATTCCAGTAGCCGTTAAATGGAAAGGTCCATTCATTCTTGAGAAACTGGGCTTGAACAGAGAATTCACTTTGTACTTCAACTTTTGGAGGAATTACTAATTTATTGGTATAGATTTTTATTTTATAACTCTGGGATACAAATGTGTATAATGTACCCTCAATTTGATCATAGTATCACTGTAACCCCATAACCTAATCAGCACAGCCACCTAAGCATTAGTTTCACCAAATATAAGGTTTACTGTAAAATACATGCAACTTCTTATTACTGAAATTTGTTTTTGGTTCTTTCAGGAGCCGATACCCATTTTTAGTTTTTATTGCTAAAGTTAAGAAAGTAATGTTTTCTGTATCTGGTCGGAACTGTGTAACCTGGAGTATCATCAGGTATGCTTTACAGAGGCACAGCGCTTGTATGTCAGATCATACAGCCACTGCGCTTCGCAGCAAGAAAGGAAAATCTGATAGAAATATGGTAAGTTGCTTCTCCCAGTGAGACAGCAAATCGTGATCTCTGATCATGATCTACTTTGAGGATACTATCTTTGTTGGATTAGTTAGTTTTATGTTTGTTTTACATCTTTAATTTATTCTTAGTAGTACTTAAAATGGCATATCCATTTGAAACAGTGTATTCAAACAGGATTAAGATTTAATATGGTGGCAATCAATTTGATATTCATTATTTAAAAATTTGTCATTTGGCAGTAAATCTGGTATACCAAATTTGAGCAATTTTGTTGCTGTAATTGGAACCATTTCCATGGTACACCCTCATGTAATAGAATGTGAATTATGAAAAGGAAAATAAAAGTGTACATAATAAAGTTTGACTCAGCCTCTAACAGAAATGACTACCAGGAATATTCTTGGGGGTAAAGGGCAGCTGGCACATAGGGCTGACTGTCTAGAAAATATGGGAACCTCAACATCTCACAACCCTATGGGCCTCCATGGCCTGTTACAGGGATACCTTTACTTTTTTACATAAAGTATTTTTTCCAGCCACAGCACTTTGTAGATGTGCGCAGAGTGCGTGCAATTGGAGGAAAGGGAGGGGATGGTGCTATCTCATTTCTTCAACTGTGGGCCAATGAGACAGCAGGTCCAGATGGAGGTGATGGAGGGAATGGAGGACATGTAGTATTCCAGGTTAGTGATACAAGGAAAAGCCAATAAAGTGGTCACAAATGGATATAAAACATAGAACATGTGATATTCAAACCTGGAAAAAAACATCATTTCTTGACATATCCTCCACCAACATTTATACATTTGTCCCAGCGCTTTACCAGTGTGTCGAAACCCGCAGCATAGAAGTGTTTCAACTGTTGTCTCAGCCACTTCCACACCTCATTTTCAGCGTCTTTGTCATCAAAATGTTTCCAGCCAAGGTGGTTTTAGCAGACCAAACAGATGGAAGTCACTAGAGGCCAAGTTAGGGCTGTAGTTATTGAATTCTCTCCTGGGTTGCTTGGGCTGTATGTGGTCTCGCATTGTCATGATGAAGCAGTACTCCTTTTGCCAGTTGGCCTGGACTTTTGCCATATGCTAAACCATGGGAACACCCTAGTGCAGTTTTTTTTCTTTTATTTATTGCTAGCGGGGAGGGACTAAGTCCCTTGTACTGTGGCCACTTCTGGCCTATTGTACCAGCCCCAGATGATAGGTGAGGGTGATTGTGGAATGAAGATTGGCAGGGGAAACCGAAGTACTCAGAGAAAACCTGCCCCAGCACCACTTGGTCCACCACAAATCTCACTTGACCCGACCCGGGATCGAACCCGGGCTGCTGCGGTGGGAAGCCAGTGACTAACTATTTGAACTATGGTGCGGCCTGACCCTAGTGCAGTTGCTACAGTGTCTATTGTTATCCTCCTGTCAACTCAAATCAACTATTTCACCCACTGCACAGTTGATTCTGTTGCAGTCTCATCAGGGTGAACTGGTCGGGCATCATTTGTTTCTTTTGAACGTCCTTGAGAGAATTTATTGATCCAGTTGTGAGCCACTTTACACTGCAAACACTTCCCACCATAAACAGGAAATACTCGATTTGTTTCATTCTGGTCCGTCA